GAGTAGGAGTAGGAGTGGAGTAGGAGTAGGTAGTAGGAGTAGGAGAAAGAAAGAAAGAAAGAAAGAAAGAAAGAAAGAAAGAAAGAAAGAAAGAAAGAAAGAAAGAAAGAAAGAAAGTTCATTCAATGCACCAAGCAATGAACAACAGTGCCTGAATTTAGACCCAAGTTAGCCCAAATAAACCACATTATAGCTTAGTGTAACGTGTGAACTCAGTCACTCATAGTTTAATCGTTTCTGCCAGCTCAGTGGCCTCCGACTTGGAACCAATTCAAGTTGATTGTAAACTCTTAACTGACTTGTTTAATCAGGAATTTGAATGTGCCTAATGTATAACCTTTAAAGATGCAATTGTGAATTACTGGGAAGCAGTAGCCTGGAATTTGGCAGTTGGTCAGCAGCAGGCCTCCATCACAAAGTATCTTACTAGAAGTTATCGTTTCTGCCTCTCCCAGATAATCTTCGTTATCATAACAGTCAAAATATATTTGTAACCATATCCCATATTTTAATCAACTTTTACCTCAGGACTGGTAAGTAATTTTAAAAAGTCCTATTATTTGCTTTTAACATTTCTTTCTGTGTAACCCACAGATATTCCTTACATTCACGTGACATAGTTTAAGCCTAGATTTAAATGGGAATTTAAACTCATGGCAAATCCTGATTATAAAGTCAGTTTTTCACAAAAGGAAAAAAAGGGGGAGTGGGGACAAAAAAGAAAGCAAAGTTGAACACAAATTCTTAGTCACAAGGTTCTCACATTGACCAGGTGGACCAAAATGGCTCAAGAGATGAACGTGGCTGTTTTCTGAGGATGGCCCTGCTTCCTTTCTCAGTCTCTGCTGCAGCCTGATGATTAATGGGCAAGCAGGGGGCAAAGTCCGATGGGCCTGGTTCCCCATTAAAGCCAGAGGAAGGGACTTCCGCTTCGTGTCTCCCTGTCACTGCAGCTTTCAGTGGTGCTAAGCGGGTGTCCCCCTTTCTCCTGGGAAGATGGGCATTGTTTCCCAGTTTGCAGTAAAAGCAAAGCTTGAAAAACAAGGAGGATCATTGGAGGTGAGAAACGAAAGAGATATGTAAGACGTTCCCAGGATGTGACTAGCAGAGGGAAGGGGGCTGAGAAAATGGCTTTTCCTCTGGGAGAGAAGGGCACCCAGTTCACAGTCCTTCTGTTGCCTTCACAGCTGAAGTCCAGAGCGAGATTGAGCGAATCTTTGAATTGGCCAAGTCACTGCAGCTGGTCGTGCTGGATGCTGACACCATCAACCACCCAGCCCAGCTGGCCAAAACCTCTCTGGCTCCCATCATTGTCTACGTCAAAGTCTCTTCCCCAAAGGTGAGCTGGGGACAAGGAGCTACGCCCAGGCGACAGCTTTGCTGGCTTGCAAGGCATCCCACGCCAGCCTTCCCTGTGGTGCTTCCTGCTGCCCCCTCGTGGTGTCTCGCAAAATTAATTCCCAGGTGGTCCCCCTGGAGATACAGTACAAAGCCCCGTGCCTTATTTAACAATCTTTACAACGGATCCACAACAGCGAAAGAAACAGTTACAATCCAAATCACAAAGCTAGTGAGTCAGAGCCATGCTTGTTCCAGAATACAGTATAGAGAGAGTCCCCTCCTGTTCCCGCTCCGAACTTTGCCTGCCCCTTCCGTTCTCAGCTTTAAAAGGCAAGATTCCAGGTGGTAGAAAGACGAGCCTCAGGGAACTTGATAGAAATGGCAGCTACTATCTCTGTAGTCAGCGATGGATTTACGGGGAGAGTCTTTTGGCGGAGAGGGGGGATCGGACATTCTGATTTCAGCTCTTGAGCCAGATAGGCACTCTTGTCTCGATTCATATACCCCCCTGCTTTTATCCTTATATATAAGTCACTTGCTTCAATCCTCAGTGGGTTGGGGGTTTTTTTAGATTTTTTATTCCACCTTTATTATTTTTTATAAGTAACTTAAATAAGTCAGGTGGCGAACATACCTGATACTCCTTCCTCCTCCTATTTTCCCCACAACAACAACCCTGTGAGGTGAGTTGGGCTGAGAGAGAAGGACTGGCCCAAAGTCACCCAGCCGGCTTTTATACCCAAGTTAGGACTAGAACTCAGAGTCTCCTGCTTTCTAGCCTGGTGCCTTCACCACTAGACCAACCTGGCTCTTTTATTTAAGTTTTCTTTTATTTAAATTTACTTTATTTTATTTCTTTATGTTTTACGTTAAAGCTGTTTGTAATGGAGTGGCCTGCCATTTTCTTTTTAAGGAAATTCGGCTGAGAGGTGGGGGATGGCAATGGCTGTTTTCCTTTATGAGAGAAGAGGCAGAGCAATCTCAGCCTTGATCTCTGAGCTAATGTGTGGCCTGATAGGAGGGCACGCTGCCCCCATAATCAGCGGGTCTTCACAGCTACCATATAAGAAAGAGCCACATCAGTCAAGGGGACCCCTCCTCCTCTAATCCCCTCCTTAGGAACCCCATGTTCATTTCCAACAAGGCTAGACAACCTTTTGGTGATGATGGGCTGTATGCAGTGTTGTCCAAACTTGGCCACTTTAAGATGAGTGGACTTCAACTCCCAGAATTCCCCAGCCAACATGGCTGGCTGGGGAATT